GCAGTCTTGGTCGACTTGGGAATGTCCACTTCCTGCGTGGAGACCAGTTCAGCCTCTGGGCACCCTTGGCTCCTCAGGCGAGCTGGAGACTGCACTCCATCTGCGAGCTTCCAGCTCCTCATGAGTGTGAGCGGCGCGCCTGCTGCGCTGCCGTCCCTGCTGAGCCCTAACGCCTCCACCATATGGAGTTTCTATATTCAACTTTTTGAGGAAATACCAAACTGTCTTTCCAGAGTAGTTGTACCATTTTACAATCCCACCAGCAGTGTATGAGAGTTCTCACCTCTCCACATCCTCTCCAATATTTATTGCTTAGTGCTTTACTAAACTTTCTCCCTGCGACTAGGATAAAATGGTATCTCATTGTGGTTTTGATTTACATCTTTCTTATTGCCAGTGATTTTGATAATTTCTTCCTTTTCTGTTGGCCACCTGAAAGTCTTCCTCTGTGAAAAGTCTTTCCATGTCTTTTGCCCATTTTGTAATTGAGTTATTAGTCTTTTTTTTTCTTCTGGAGGCCCAGGAGTATTCTGTAAACTTTTGTGGTGAGACCCTGTCTGAAATATTTGTTCCCACTCGGTAGGTTTTTCTTTTCACCATGTTGGGAAAAGTTTTCGGTGAGCACAGAGTTTTAATCTTTAAAAGATCTCATTCATCAATTTTATCCTCTCCAGATTGTGCATTTCCAGCTGTGTTTGGCAGTCTCTTTACACCAAGCCATGCCTTCTAAGCTTGATCTCAAGTTGTCTCTTATAAACTTTATAGTTTTAGGCCTTACTCCCAGGTCTCTGATTTACCTTGAGTTGATTTTTGCTTATGGTGCGAGATATGAATCCTGTTTCAGCTTTCTTCAGGTAGCAGTGTAGTTTTTCTAGCACCATTTATTTAAGAGGTTGCAATTTCCCCATTTGATAGCTTTGATTTTCTTGTCAAATATCAGTTTGCCACAGATAGCTGAGTCCATTTCTGGGTTCTCAATTCTGTTCCATTGGTCTAAGTACTTGTCTCTGTACCAGTACCATGATGTTTTGGTTCCGACCACTATGTAGTAGGTTTTGAGGTCAAGGAGTGCTATGCCTCCCACTTCATTTTTGTTTTTCAGAAGTGCTTTGTTATTTGGGGTCTCTTGTCTATCCAAATACACCTGAAAATTTCCCTTTCAATCGTCTTGAAAAATGAATTTGATATCGGTATTGCGATTGCATTGGACATGTAGATTGCTTTTGGTAGGATTGTCATTTTCATGATATCGAGTCTTCCCAGAGCGTCAAGGAACAACTATGAGATATCATCTCACCCCAGTCAAAATAGCAAAATTTAACAGAACAGCAAACAACAAATGCTGGCGAGGTTGTGGAGAAACTGGAACCCTGATTCACTGTTCGTGGGAGTGTAAAATGGTGCAAACCCTGTGGAAAGCGGTATGGCACTT